CCCCAAAACCCCAAAACCCCAAAACCCCAAAACCCCAGGGGATAAGAGAGATATTGGTGGGTTGGTGCTTAATATTCATCGTCTTCTAGGATGGATGAGTTTCTATTGAGCCTATTTGAGGAGTGTTGGATCATCATATTCAAGTTATACTAGAGGTGATGAAATGGATGTACCTGAGGTGGTCTTGTAGCACTTGGCATTTTAGGTTCCTCTCTATGAATTAGTGTAAATCCTTACTTTGGAAGCTTATTTGAGAGATTTGATATGTTTCCAATCCCAACACACTCATTGTCTTGATATAACTTAGTTGAGTCTCTATCATCTTGAAGCTCAGAAAGTTGCTTATCTATGAAGGTCAGATCTCAGATAATTACTGGTTAGCTGCTCATGACTCAATACCCCATTGAGCAATCTATAATCCTTGCTTGTCCAAGTCTCTTTTTTATACTCCTCCTACACATTGATTCTAAAATTTAGAATCCTTACCATAAAATCATCAACTTTTGTTTTATGCTGTTTCTTTTTGGCTTTGGCAAACATCTTAGGAACATCATCATAGTTATCATCACTATAACTGCTCTCTGTTTCTCCATCTGCTGAAATGCAATTGGTCTTCTGGTAGGTTATCATAAACCTTTCGCTGTCATCCATGAGAGATCCTACAAGAGTGTTGAGGTTACGCATACATCTGGCGTAGTATACTGCATCGAATTCGTTTAGAAACTTTGCCTCTCCTATTAAAGTCAGATCATGATGTAAAATTTATATAGAGCGGAGCAAACTTCAGTTTTTTTTAAGATAAAATCTATTTCTTTGTTATATAGAAAAATCCAAGAATATCCTGGGGTTAAGCTAATTACCTTTTTCATATAGCTTCATTCTGGTATTTGCATTAAATCGATTCTTTTTCATCCACCAGCCACACAGAAGCCAAGTGATTGGAGAGAAGAAGTTGTACACAAAGTCTGAGATCTTCCAGTCGTATCTCATTCTCCTTTTCATAGCTTTATGAGCCTTCTCTGAAAGGACGTCTTTGGGCTTTATCAAATTTACTCCTGAATTCTTGCTCACATGACTAGATCCATCCTAGATATAAGAATGTTAGCTTACATTGAGATCCTCCTGAACCTTGTTCTTATTATCGTCGTCTCCTAAAGCATCAGAAGCTTCATACCTTTTGGCTGGTCTTCAGGATCCTCAACATGGTAAAGTTTGGTCAGAATTGAGAACAAGAACATTCTTCCAGAAAATAGAGCAACCAAGAAGCCCCCTGTGCGTTCAAGGATTTCAAATAAACCACCGATGTTCCCTGTAACTTCCAGCAAACTGAAGACTTGGCGCTCATAGGATTTGGTCTCTGCATCTTTAACAAAAAGAAGTTCTAGGTATGAATTTGAAAATTACTGTAAATGGAATTATCAACAGCATCGATCTGAACAGCAAGTCGAGAGTCAACACGATGGATTTCGACGAACTCCTTCTTGGACCCTCCTGGCTGGTATGCAAAGTAGCTATCCTGGATCTCAGCTTCGTTATTTCTATACAGTGAACGCCAAAATTACTGAATAAACACATCATCTCTCTTGACATAGCCAGGAAGCATGTCGACTACAAGTCTCCCATCAATATAAGTCTTGACTGGACTGGCGTAGTCATCAAAGTCAAAGTAAGTATTCACGAAGGGGATCTCCACCCTGAGCCTACTAATCTTATCTTCCAAATCAGCAGGTCAGGCCACTGTGCATTTCACAATGTTGAACTCCAGGTAGATGAAGTCTGTTGACAGCGAATTTCCTTGCACTGCAAGGAGAAGTTAAAGATTTTTGATTCACGAAGGAATTTTAAGATGAAAGAAGAGGAATAATGGAGTGGGCTTACCGATGTAGTCACGCGAGAGAGGGCATAAGTAATCCTGAATTCCAAGTTTTTTGACCTAGAGTGAGAGGGAGGTGTACCTCGGTTTGGTTGTAGTATTGGAACAAGTTTGTTCCACATTTTTCATATGGAATATTGGCTGATATTAGTTCTCCAGTGTCTAGTAGTAGGATTTTCAATTGTTATATATAAAAATGGAGATTACTAAGTATTTGAGTAGATGATAATGCATAATCTTACCTGGCTGCTTAATCCATTGGAATAACTCAATGTTGAAATATTGGTTATTGTTAAAGTCAAAATTCTCATCGCCAAGTATAAAGGCATTAAATGCAAATGAGAAATCGGTAGTGCTAAATTTGAATCAGAAAAATACGAATTATCTCAGAATTTTAAAGCTTAAAAGGAGCTATTATTGCTTACTTGAGAGATACTGGGGATTTGTCGTTGAGAATGTCTACATATCAGCAAGAAAACTCCTACCACTCACTACTGTGTTCACACTTTTTGATGTGTCATTACGTTCTATAAAAAGTAGTTATGAAACTGATCTGGAGGAAGTTAAAAGTAAGCTCTTTGGAACTACTACAAAGGAAATTCTATGAAGCTATTTAGATAAACTCCATAGCATATTTTGGGATGCATAAAGAGTTGATTTGGTAACTTCTCTGTGCTTCTTTGATTTAGACAGCAAAATCAAATAAATGACTTGAACAAGCTGCTTAACACAACTTTGCAACTTTAAGGAATATCTAAGGAGACAGGAAGTTAGAACAGAATAGAAAATATCCTGCACAAACTATTTTAGACTCAATTTTAGTGATGCAACAGAGAGTCTTACCTATCATTATCTTTAGCATAATATAAGCATAGAGCACAATAACCACCTGAATCGACATTGAGATGAGTCCTCCAAACAAGGTCCTGAATTCTCTATACACAATTAGCCAAAAGTCATATAAAGAGTAGACTTACTCTTTCCCTTTGAAAGTAAATGCTATTGGTCTTGGATATCTACATAATGACTTATCCATGTTACATATCCCTATCCCTGACCTTATCGAGGATGTACTTCGAACTTTTTTTGAGAATGTTCTTTCCCATTTATAAAATTAATTAAAAATAAAGTAATTTTCAAATAATTTAGAATATAGTGGGGTTTTGGGGTTTTGGGGTTTTGGGG